ATCTCTGTTCCCGTTCCCCCAGCCTGGTGGTCACCCTCTGGCTTCTGCTAGGCAATCTATTGCCTCTGCTTGCTGGATTTCTTCTGTGTGTATGGCACTAGGAATGGAAGAGTGAATTGTCCAAACATTCCTTTGTGTCATGTTCATCTGAGCAAAGCACAAAATCTGGGCAAGTGCCAGTCTAAGCAGATGGCAGAAATGGCATTTCTGACTTTGGCTTGGAAGTGTTGGCTATAATCAGACCTCAGAGCAGAGCTTCACAGCAGTTACTCTTCATCAGCAACCCAACAGCCTCCAAGCTGGAAGAAGGAAAAGGAATTCCAAGTCACCAAGCCTCTTTATTTTTCAGGATACATAACCTTCCTGAAGTTTTCCTTTGAAAATGGGAGAATTGATTAAATTATCAGAGTGATTACATACCTCAACATTTTCATTAACCTAAGACAATGGGATAGTTCATCAATACTGCAGTCATTTAAAGAACAGCTAATAATTGCAAGACTGCAAATTGTGGATCCTGCCTTCAAAAATACAGATTGTCCTTTGACTTACAGGAAAATAATTGAATTGGATTTTAACATCAGTATTATATCTTTTTTTAATTTAATGGCTGTACATGGTACCCTTAAATCATTGTTCTCATTGTTCCAAAAGTTTTTTTTCTCTTATGTTTTCTAAATCTTATAATTTAACCATGCTTGCCCTTTTCAAACCAAACTGTGTAGCAGTTTACTACTGATCCATTATATGTTGTTAGCCCTCTTTCAGTTTTATGTGTACTCATCCTCAGAGCTCAGCTTCCAAAGTTGTATTCTTCATCAATTTAATAATGACTTGAAAAACTGTGGAAGCAGAGAGAGAAGAACACTTTGCCCTATAAAAACATTGCAGACAAGCAAACAGAAGAAAGCATAACTGTATGTTTTTCAGATAATAGTTATGACAAATGTAATCCAAAATAGAACTATTCTTTTTTTGACCAATGAAGATAAAAAGACATTCTGGTACTGTAAGACAGGTAGGTATGCAGTTATTTTCACATGGACTTAGAAATTGTTACAGAAGACTTTCTACTATCTGAAAATTATTTTATATGTAGAAAGAAAAATATAAGTCAAAACAAGATGGTCTGAATGGTTTACAAGTAGCAAAGTGTAGGTGTTGTATAGGGCTTATCCAGTAGGATCTTCATTACCACACAACATACAATTCCACCTCTGCTTTAAAAGAAAGTGGTGGTGTTTACATCCTGCATTTGACATTCCTCCTATTGCCACATAGATTCTGGTCCTCAGAAGCAATACTGCCTTGGTACCAGCTCTTACCAACCCCACTTAGTAATTCCAATTTGAATTCTTCAATGATGACTGGTGCCGAGTTTTTCTCTCTAAAGCGAGTGAAGTCCTGAAGCATATAAACACAGCCCCTGGACAAGCATATATTCATTCTTTCATTCATTGGTTGGCCCTTTGATACAGCACACAGTTATTAAGCACTCCATTTAAGAAATTTTGCTAACTTAGCGAGCAGAATAATTACGAAAGATTAATTCCAACTGACTATTTGGCCCTGGAGCCAAACAGCAACCCCAGCATAGAGTAAAGTCAACCTTTTTTAAGGCATAAATTTTTAATATGTATTTGCATGTAGTTTTAAGTTGGAGGTATTTGTCATTGTGGAAAGCTGGGAGTCTCTAGCGTAGCCAGCTTCAGGTGGAGAGAAGCTAATGGTAATTGTGTCGGGACAGTGCTCAGTTGTCAGACTTTGTCATGCATACTTTAAATTGTGCAAGTTGAGAGAAGAGTGTAGAGTATATTTTTAAAGAAAATTAAAACTCTAAAGTTATATACTTGTGACTATGAGTTATCCTACATAGTTGTATAAAAAATTTCAACAGAAATACTATGGACTCATATATGAGATTCTTGGTGATAGGTTCAATTATATTTTGACTGTTGTGTAGTAATGCCATTTAGATAGTATTGCTTCCAAGCATGGTGCTTTTTATACTTGAAATATATTTTTGCTTTATTTTTTATTGATATAATTATATTTGCACTAATGAATTTCTGAAGAAAATATTATGACATTTTTTCTATATATATTTATTAAGCTTCAAATCTGGTAGCCCAGTGTTTTCTCTGCACAAATAAGAAACTTGATAAGTTATGATAGTAAGAAATCCTGAGTTTTTGAGGGTAGCTAACTGTACTGGTGTTCTTTACTCTCTTCAACAAGTCTTGAAAGTGGTTGCTTATCACTGATCCTGCATAGTGTACTCAGTGAAGCCTTAGAAGGCCAGTGAACCTGTAAGAAATTTTAAGAATCATTCTGAGATTTCAATGCAGAATTAGTGGGAGAGATTGCAGCTTTGATGTGAAGTAACTGAAATGGCCTAAATGTAGATATCCTATGGCAGTTTATCAAAACCTTCAGGTTAACATAAGCAGTTCACCGAGAATGAGACTGAGCCGACTGCAGCCGTGGTGGAAGTGAAGTGGGGCAGAGGAGTATGGAGAGAGTAACTGCCCCGGGGATTGTAGACTGGAGTCCCTTACTGACTTGGAAAGGGTCAAGTGCTTATAAAAACTGACTACCTCAGTTTTCAGATAAGACTTAGGTGCATTTTGGTAGTATTAAGATCCTAACTGTCAAAAATACCAAGTGAATTTGTCTCTCAGGTTTTCAAGAACAGAATTTACAGGAAGGCAGCCAAAGCCATGACAATAGACTTGAGCTGACTGCTTTAAAGAAACTGGCAAGCAGTTAGGTAGCCTTAATGTAGGCCACCCCACTAATAGGCTCCTGAGAAACATCCTTTTCCTTACTTAGCTCTTAAGGATACTTATTTCTATTAAGACCAAATAGACATTCTCAAAATGTTACAAATTATGCTTAAATTAGTTTCAGCCCAATATGTTGGCTTAGAGTTTATCAGTATTTGAAGATGAAACCTAAATCAATGAAGTCTAAATAGTCTTGGGAAGATACATAAATAAGCATATCTGAGTATTCCCTAAAATTTTGTCAATATCTCTTCAATATTAGAAGACTTGCTGATTGATTGGGACCATCTGTAAAATGACTAGGTGCTTTCTCAGAATCTTTCCAGCTGTAATGTGACTAATATTCATCCAGAATTGCTGGATCACTGCTGGCTCTGATCCACCTCCTGAAGAATGCCAGCTTGCATGTCATGTTCATCAATGTCCTGCGCTGGATGCCATAGTGCTATCCTTTTCCTTGGGTGGACACTGAATGGAAAGAGAAGAACCTGCCTCTGAGGGCATTTGAGTAGTCCTGGCAGGAGGAAGTGGACTTCAGTCACACCTCCACAGACCTGTTTCATAGCACCAGTTATTCATGCCATGTCCTTGCAGCCCAGGAGGACTAACGTATTTTAATAAAGTCTGTGCAACTCATTGCAAAAAAAGAATTTAGTGGAAGGATGACCTTTTTTGGATACATTTAGTCAGGATTGGGGAAAGAGTGGTGAATTATCTTCTTTTATGTCTACATTTTTTGATAAATGAAGATTTAAGAGCTAATTTTTATTTATGGTATTGAACTTTAAGTGTAATATATTCCTTAGAAAAAACACAACTTTAATAAAAATTGAAACTAAACCTGCATCTTGTCTTTACTTAATACTGTCAATTTTTTTTAAACCTGGGTAAAGAACACAAAACACTCTATTTGGAGAAGATGAGGTGATTATTATGAAACATAATTCAGTTTTTACCTTAACTAGAGTAAAATTGTCCTGGCTATGAATGGGGATAGGTATTACGTAAATCTACAGGGAGTCACCCTCCTCAAATAGTTAAGCAAGAAAGAGAACAGACTAAAACAATTCAGGGCAGCCAACTCTGGCTGAAGGTTGTTCCAGTCCTGGCTATGGGCCTGGAGTCTCAGTACATGACCACTCTGGCACATTCAGGTGCCATGCTGTCTGCAGTGGTGGCCAGTAGCTTGTGACTGTAGTTGTGCCATCTGATTCCTCCTCATAACCTGGATATAGTTGGAGAGAGTATACTTGGAACATGGGTTCACTGTGTGTTCTTAGAGCCGTTTGCTTTCTGGCATGGAGCCAAGCACTTTATGAAATTAATTGAATATAGCCTGTGTGACCTAATTGCTCAGCTGAGATCTTTATGGAAAATTTTAATAATAATATTTAGATTTTTTCATTTAAAATACTTCATATAATTAGCTAAAACTGTATAAATTACTTCAACTAGTTGAATAATTCCAATATTATTTGTACAGGGTACTGATGATAAAGCTGTCTACATCTCATTATTACCTTGTTTACACTACCTTTTGGTATGTTCATAGAATACAGCTTATTTAACAGGCATTATTATATGAACTAGTATTGTCCACACCTTGCCAGTAGATCTGCTGAAATGTAGGGGTTTATTTAACCCAGCTTTGTTAGTGTTCCACCGAAGTTCATTCTTTAATGTTTAAAATAAAATGGACATATTTTGAAATAGTAGTCCAAATATATGATCTGATAATCTGGTAGATGACCAATATCTTTGCCATTTTATATGTATAGAATTTTTTTTTCCACCTGTAGACATTAGTATATCTTAGATTCAATACCACTTTAACACTTGATTCCACTAACAATTTTTTCAATTTCAACAGAAATATTAGTGACTCAAGAACTCTCTTGACATTATCTTATTTGAAAATATTAAAATCACAGTATCTGAACACCTCCTGGTTTTCCTGCCCCCAACCTCATTAGGTTCCCTATGACATTTCAGGCTATATATTGGAAGAAATTTCACATGTACTCACACTTATGGGTGTTCATGTGTGTGTGTATACAGTGAAGATTTTGATGTATTTGAGAATATGAAAATTAAATGTGAGGTAGTCGAAAAGAATACAGCAAATGTCATGTGCCTCTCACCTCGCCCTCCCCTGAGTCTTGAATCTTAATAGAGGTATCTGCTGAAATGTAGGGGTTTATTTAACCCAGCTTTGTTAGTGTTCCACCGAAGTTCATTCTTTAATGTTTAAAATAAAATGGACATATTTTGAAATAGTAGTCCAAATATATGATCTGATAATCTGGTAGATGACCAATATCTTTGCCATTTTATATGTATAGAATTTTTTTTTCCACCTGTAGACATTAGTATATCTTAGATTCAATACCACTTTAACACTTGATTCCACTAACAATTTTTTCAATTTCAACAGAAATATTAGTGACTCAAGAACTCTCTTGACATTATCTTATTTGAAAATATTAAAATCACAGTATCTGAACACCTCCTGGTTTTCCTGCCCCCAACCTCATTAGGTTCCCTATGACATTTCAGGCTATATATTGGAAGAAATTTCACATGTACTCACACTTATGGGTGTTCATGTGTGTGTGTATACAGTGAAGATTTTGATGTATTTGAGAATATGAAAATTAAATGTGAGGTAGTCGAAAAGAATACAGCAAATGTCATGTGCCTCTCACCTCGCCCTCCCCTGAGTCTTGAATCTTAATAGAGGTTAAATAAAACAGGTTATACCACTATTCTAAAATAATTTGGTTAGTTGTGCAGCTTTGTGCTTGCTAATAAGTAAAATGTAAAATCTGCATTTCTTATAATAAGTTTGACACAGGAGTAAAAAGGAAGCCAGTAAGTGCTATGTAGGTGTTCAATAACCCTTAGGGACAAGTACCATCATAACTGAGAAAAAAATTGTGGGGAAGTTAGGGTTCCTATGGCCAGGATCCTCACTGAACTTAAACCACCTGATGATGTAACTGGCCTGTTGCTAGGCTACCGCTTCCCCACCTGTAGGCAATAAGCTATTATTGTGCTATATAGAGAGCTCAGCCCAGTGCTCTGGGCAGAGGCGGAGAGGCTAGTGCGCGACCTATAGCCAGGAAAACAAGCCGGGTAATAAACCCTTTCACCCCAAGAACATTCTACTGTTACTTCTTTGGCCACACTGAATCCATAGTGAACTTACCTGAGGCCGAAACCCATTGGCAAGACAAAAATGAAGAGAAATGCCTGAGGCAAGTCAGCTGTCAGACTGACTGAGGTGAGTCAGTGGCTCTGCCACTCAGGGGTTTTGCCCCAGAACTGTACCAGCAGTGTGCGCCATGCCAGGTCTCCACAGATGGGGGTTTGGTCTCCATTTGTCTCTAACTTACCCTCTCACAGCATCCAGCTGCCCTCCAACCCAAGCCGTGGCCACTCCTGCCTCTCCATCACCAGTTCAAAAGAACCCAGTGTTCTCAAGTATATGTGCATATATATTTGGTGGTTATTGTTTGGGGGTGGGGGGTGAAGGCTCTTATCCCTCCATCATTTCTCAAGGACTGAATTGGAGGGATCCAGCAGACCTTGCTAATTTACTAATTTGGTAGGAACCAGAAACTCTTCTCCCCCTATAGTCTGCTCCCGCTGTTTTATGACCTTCATATCATCATTCAGTTTCCAGGTTGATGTAACTGGCCTGTTGGTGGGCTACCACTTCTACACCAGTAGGCAATAAGTTATTATTGTGCTATATAGAGAGCTTAGCCCAGTGCTCTGGGCGGAGGCAGAGAGGTTAGTACTCAACCTACCACTGGGAGAACAAGCCAGGTAATAAACCCTTTCACCCCAAGAACGTTCTACTGTTATTTCTTTGGCCATACCTGAACTTACCTGAGGCTGAAACCCATTGGCAAGACAAAAATTGGGGGTGGTGGTGAAGGCTCTTATCCCTCCATTATTTCTCAAGGACCGAATTGGAGGGATCCAGCAGAATGGGAATGACGGTGCCCGGTGTGGCTGCCCATGCATGTCACAGGAGACATGGTGGTGAAAATGAGCAGCCTGGAGTCTACAGTGCTGAGGAACACAGTGGGTCAGCTCCAGGGTGGGTAGGCACCTGCCTGGATGTGGCTGTTAACCAAAACCACAGGTGCAGAAAGTATTACAGTCCAGAGGCAGAAACAGATAGTCAAGGTGAGTAAAATCTGGGAAGAATGAAGTCCTAGGGAAAAAAAAAATTATTCACTGGCACTAACAGGCTGAGCTGTTTGATTAACAGTTTGTTTGACTAGTTTATCTGTGGCATCAAGTGAAACTTCATTAAGTACCTTCATTAAGTACCTATCTCTGTAAAGTCCAGAATGACAGTTTTTTCTTTATGGCCTCTGTTCAGGTGCCAGTTGCCCTGTTACCCTAGCAATTACTTGTAAAAATAACCCTGTTTCTGATCCAGTTCAAAAGTCTTTTTTCCTAGTTAAAAAGTTCATGATTTAGAAAGGAAAAGAGAACTTCAAAATGGAGTCTCTCATGTCCAAATATTTTATATAATTCCATATGCTGTGTGGTTTTTGTCTTTGGTATTACGCTTAGAAGACCTTCCTTACTGCTATTACATATTTTTTTTCACTTATAAAAGATTTACATTTTTTCTTTGGGAAATACTGAACATGATAGAAATAATACATAGTTCTACCACTCTTAAAAACATTCTATAAAGACAGAAGTAAAAGTCCTCCTACTTCCTCTAGGCTCTCCATTTCCATCCCCCTAGAGGAACATAGAGGGTCCCAGATGATACATATCCCTTGTTAAAAATAAAATTCAGCTGAGTAATTTGAAGATCTAATTGCCTTTATTCAATAATTCATGAATCAGGCAACATCCCACCTAGTAAATAGAAAGGAGCTCCAAGGAGTAATACAAAATGGAAGGTGTTTATGGGCATAAGAGGTTAGAAAAAAGGACGTTCCTAGTCCAGAGTGGATCTTTCAGGCAAGGTCACTTTCCTTTGGGGAAAGGAGGGGGTCTATCAGTCAGAATACCTCACTGGAGATGATCAGGTAATTCCATATTGACTTGGTCAATTGGTCACATTTCTGGGACAGGCTGAAGCTGCAACTAGGTTAGGTATTAAGTCAGGTTACTGATGTGGGGCTTAGCCTAAGTGATTCCATTTTGAACATGTTTGATTTTTAACACCTTTCAGGATTTTCTCCACTATTATATACATAATAAAATAGAGGGTTAGGTATACAATATAAGAAATAAAAAATGGTATCACCCTGCACAAATTGTTTGGCATCTTGTATTTTTATTCTTTCAGGTGCAGCACAGTCATCTTTACAGGTTAGCAAACTTAGATTTACCTCATAGTTTGTAGTAATTTAGAGACAGCTCAAGATGTCGGCATGAGTGGGGCGGTGGAAATCTCCTCCCAAAACCATATATATTTTTGAAAATACAACAAATACAACTATTCCTAAAAGAGAGACCAGAAGATACAGTACAACAGCTAGGCTACATCTACATCTGCGAGAACTCAGCTCTCATGAAAAGGGTAAGATACAAAGCCATGACCCAGTGGGACCTGAGCACTCCCCTGACCCCAGCTCACCAGTGGGAGGAAAAAAATCAGAGTAGGGAAGGAGTGGAAGCACAGGACTGCTAAATAATAGCCCTAGTTATCTGCACCGGGAGTACAGACACACATTGCATGGTGTACTGGATATTAGGGAAATGGAAAAGTAAAATCTGAGATGGAGACTGTGAGCAGGTCCCCACAGCCGGCTCCCCTGGGATAAAAGAAAAGCGGGCGCTTTTAAAAGTCTTAAAGGGAC